TATATATATTATTTTTCAAAAAGTACATACAAAAAAAGAGTATGGTTTTCTTCTTTATTTTTTAATATGAGGAGATTCACTTACTCTAATGGTAAGTCTAGGTAGGCTTACATTATTTTATAATTCATGTTCTACATCAAATTTTAATGATAGATCAAATTTACAAATATTAAAAAAATTAATAATTATTTGATATGTATATTTTTAAATCAAAATATAAAATATTTTTATGATTATTCGCCAATTCGAAATAATAAAGCAAAATATTAAATAATTTTTAATTAAAAAAAAATTAGACCTACTTCATGTATTAAGAATTTTTAATTCAACGATTGGATCGTTGAAATTTGATATAGAATCTAAGACTTACTATTAAATAGTTTAACAAGACTTACTCTTGGAATAAATGGATTCATTTTTATGTTAAAAAAATTTAGTCATACTCTTATTTTATATTCATTTTTTCTATTAATGTATCTCTTAAGGTTGAAATAGGAAAATACGTGTATAAAAAAATTGTTTATCCCATTAGTAATAGATTTAATCATTCATACATTGTCAGTGTAAAATTTTTTACATTGACAATCAATCATATCTTTTAAATTATTTTATTTTACTTTTATTTGATTGAATGAGCAAATGACATGATATTATTAAGATATATGATTGATTGTCAGTGTAAAAAAACTTTACACTAGTGTATAAGTGATTAACTATTAGTAATAACTACCCACTTTTACTTTTTCATGGAGGTATGAAATGGTTTTTCTTGCTAGGTATAATTATTTTAAATATTAATAAATTAATGTATTATATTTTAATAATATATCCATTTTTTTAAAAAGCCTTATGAAGTAATTTTTAAAAATATTAATATATTAACATAATAGTACCATATTACATAAGGAAATACATACATATATATAATTTTGTATATAAATGTATTAATACTAAATGTTACATCAATACTTTTTTCAACTTTAATTTATTGCATAGTTATAGATATTAATCCATCTCTTAAATTTTATCTTTAAATATTATTTTAAGTAAGTTATAATAAATTATTATCAGGTTTTGTATGTATTTGAAAAATATTTTTAATTATTATCTTTAATAAAACATATGTAAAGTAGCCAAATTATAATGCATATTGATTTTATTGATTTATTTTTAATTATTTTAAAATTTTCTGTCAACAGTTAATTTCAGTTACTCACCATTTACTTATTGTATTTTAAAATTTTTATATTATATAGTAAGTTGAATTTTATTTACTAGAGATATACTGCCATAAATAATATCGTAGTTATGTTTAAGAAAACTGTAAACAAATAATCAGACCAAGTTGAAGGATTGAGTAATTTGAGTTGCTGCCGTAAGCTATTTCAGATACCAACTGAATTTGAAACGGACAATGTGATTCAAGTAAGCTGTGTTATTTTACTCTTCACACGAGTGCAAAATCCCAGTTCTATGATTCTTTTCGAATCTTACTCCTCAATCTGATAATACAAAAAGATGCAACTGTTGTGTGACATATTCCCTGCCCTTAAAAGCCGAATTATCACTGACTTAACAACCTTATAAAAATGATACTATAAGTAAGGTGCAGATACTAACGTACTAGAGACTAAAGCAAATTTTGACGTCCATATAAAGTAATTCTGAATGTCAACAATTCCTTTTCCTATTCTTAAAATTTATAGGATTTCCTCATAAATAAGATAAGTCTTTGACAAGGCCTCATAACTAGGAAAATGTTGGTTAAACAAACACGCAAATGACCCAACCTCATTTATTCTACAAAATCTCGTAATTGTTGCATAATATACGTGTATTAATGAAAACTTTCCTCTGTATACTTAGAAAAATGGTTGACTAGGTCAGCAACGAGAATCCTTTCACATTACAAAATCCTGTGTGTATTTAAGGTTGACCTGTTTCTTTCATGTTACGATCCTCAGCCGCTATAAGTGATGTATTTTCAACACCGAGCTCGATGTCGCAAAAGATGACAACAATCAACACTAAGGAGTAATGAACATAAAGATATGTTTTAAATATAACAATCTGATAGGAAAAATAAATTCTCTGCAAACTGGATCCAATTTTATTTAAGGGGGTATGAGTTGAGATTGATTGGTGCCCATGTTAGAACAAGAGCAGACATTCGATGGGGGAACCTATTAAACAGGTTCGGGATTGCATGAGTTGGAAAACACAATTACCAAGACTTCTATGAAAGCATTCACATGGGCAGAGTATGTATTCATGATGTAAATACAACACAAGAACAAGTCATCCATAAGCATATAGGATTTCTTGACGGGTACATGTAAGCCAGCAGAAAAATATATAAGATACTCTTCATCCACAATGTCTAGTAAAGAACCCTAAAAAAGTAAAACATGACAAGCTAGGGGTTTTAACTGATGATGAATCTAAATTTAACAGAACATTGATGAAACCCCACTACAACATATTTGTCAGATTCTAGTAACACTTCAATCTTTCTTTTTATCTTTCAAAGGTCCTCTGGGAATCTTGCTCAAAACCTTCGCATCAAACACTGCATATTGCTTCTTAATCTCGGCTATTGCCTTTTCACCAAAAGAGTCCACGTGATCTTCATATTTCTCATAGAGTACAGGCACAGTGTGAAGAAAAACAAAAGCTGTTTCACGAAAATATAGAAACACATCATATCACAGTATATACAATTCAAGTTAAAATATGAACTTTCAATGCAGCAAATGTAACGATAAAGAAACATTTCATTACCTATATAGAACAACGTCAAGAAGTTGGCCCAACTACCAAGAATAGAGAAAACCCATAATCCAGCAATCACCTGAATAATACAAATCAAAAACCATATTTATTATCGTCCTCCCCTAAACCGCAAGGTTATTATTAATCATTGCCTATACGAAGTCAAAAGATTATAAGTGAACAGAGCAAAAGTATGATAAAAGGAAATCAACATACTGATAGAAACTTCTTGAGATCCCTTCCAGACGCAATATCCCGCAACACCGCAAAAGCCCGGTTGATCTCCTCTCTAAGAGCAGAGGCAAATTCTAGAACAGGTTTCTCTGGAATGTGCACTTGTGGGATCTTTGGCGGAGTCCTAAGCAAAATCAAAACAAGCAATTTAATTTAATCAACTAACAAAAAATAGACACAATATCAGAAAGTGAAATCAAATTACAGGATTAAAACTTTACTTGTTGATAAAAGTGGATGCATTGGACCACAAGAACAACGCCGCCAGAGCAAGTATCAGGATGTGGCAAACCAAAGTGAGGAGGTGGTATTCAAACAATTCAAACAGAACCCATATGACTGTTGCAACTCCGAGTGCCGATGCTGATACCTTCTTATTTCTCCAGAGAAAAACATCAGCCGCTGTGGCAAAACATTTATTGAAAGTAAAATTCCGATTAATTTAAAACGAGGTAAATCAAGAAACAATATTATAGTCAAGACAAGATGAGTCCACAATCTTCGTTTGTTGAAATTAAATGCAAGAAAAATGCAAAATTAAACCAATACCACACACACTCTTCCATCGATTATCACAGCTAGGAAATTCGACCTTTTAGGGTATTATATTAATTGGGGGGAAAATAACACAAGGGGGGAGCACAGGGGATTGCAGATCTAAACCCCAAGTGCAATCTCAATCCTTTTGACTTTTGTCTATCAAAGTCATACCAAAATAAAGAGAAGAGAAGCAAGAACGACTACCGTTCCATCCAAGATCTCACTAGAACCTCATAAACCCTAGACCCATTAAAAGCCAGATGAAATAAACTAGCAAGAAACAAGTTTCTTGATTCAAAATTAAAGTAAGCAAAATGGACTCGTATCACAACTTGGGAAGAGAAAAAACAAGAAATGGAAGAAATGAATATCAGAGAAAACTGAAAAGCATAAAAAAGGGGGAAAAAATCGCATACGTTTTCCACCACCAAGAACATGGTGAATGGGCTTTTCCCTGCCAAAAAGCCTGAAAACCTTAGACTTGAAAGACTCAGAAGGACTTGTTTTGTCGTTGTCGGACTCAGAGGAAGACGAGGAATCGTGGTCGTGGATCTTCCCCGAAAGCTTCTCCAACAAGGATTCACTCTTGGGCTCCTCGTGCTCGTGATGCTCCGCCATCTCTCACAGTCACCGATCAATAGAACCGTCTAGAACGATAACAAATTCCCCTTTTCACCAAAACTCTATGTGAGTTCGCTAAACTTTAAGTAACCCTCATTTACTCCCACTTCTATCTAAATACTAATAGCCAGACCGCTTATGATCCATGCATCTCAGCCGTTCGATTCAGTGCGCCACACCAAATCCCGTGGACCGGGTCCGGGTTCGGAAATGCCTGACCCGACCCTATATGTTCCTCGTTTCGTAAGCGGCAAGGGGTCCCGCCCCAAACCGTTAGGAGGCATAATTTAAATGACATGAAATTGGACGCGTGGCACCACTACCGTCACCGGTGCTTCAAAGTCTTCAACAACGCGAAATATCGCCTTATTACAGCACACAGATCTGCGACACGTAGGATTTTTTTTGTGTGTGTGTGTGGGGACCACTATTACTAAATTCCCTTGTGCAATAGATTTGTTTTTTAAAAATTTACGATCTACTACTACTTAGCTATTAAGAAAATCGGTGGTGAATTTGACGAAAATACCAGGCCCAGCCCATCCCGGCCCATGATCCAAAAGCTTCTAGCCATTCATTTACGTTGCTTGTCTGAGTGTCAAATAGACAAAATAGCAGAATCTTCGCGAAGGCATGTGGGACCAGTATCCGGGATACGTGTCCCACATTCATGACAAAACCTTTTCAATTAGTCCACTAATAATAAATAATAATATTTGTATCATCGCATCACCTTGCTACTGTGGACTTTATTTTCAACAGGTCATTGCTCAAGTTAACAACAAATTACGCATATCTATAAAATACTTAGATCTGTCATAACCTTGTATATGTTGATGTTATAGCTGAAGGAAAAACCAATGCAAATTACACAGATCCTTCCTGTTTAATACCTAATATTGTTCTTTTCTTTGCATGGTGATTCATTGAAGAATAAATTTAAATGCATAACATTTAATATTTTATTAAGTGATACTTAATTCACCCGTTTTTAATTTAGATTGATGCGTCGCTTCTTTTTCTTTATCCCTTTCTTGTATTTAAAGATGGTGTTTTCTTGTTTCATTTCTAAATACAATTGTAATGTGCATCTTTTTTTTCTTCTTTTTCTTTTTTACATTTACAAGATAATGAGATGAGCAATACCTTAAACCAACATGTCAAACATGCACCTACTAATCATGCTCATGCAAATTGATGTCAAGTTGTCAAAATCAACATTTCTTCAATTGGTTTGAGCTGAATTGTCGCATGCACCACATAAAATTCACATTCATGCGATTGGTAGGATGATCAAGTATAGGGACCCAAAGGCGTTAACAAAAAAGAAGTTGTTGATCATTGTCCCAAATCAAATTTGGATATATATATATATATATATAAAAGGAGATATATATTTATTTCAAGGCAAATCTTCTTAAACTTATTTCACTTAATAACTTATTTTTTACATTAAATTTTAATCATTTAATCATTAAATTATAAGTTTTTAATACATAGATCAAATGTGAAAATGTTTAACATTTTGATACTTTGTTTTATTAATTTAAACTAACATATAAAATACATTTATGATAATCTGTCAATTTGAATTAATGAAATAATGTATCAAATAATTTTTAAATTTTAAAAAAATTTACAAACTTAATCTATGCAATAAAATTTTTTAATTCATCGGTTGAATCGTTGAAATCTTATGTAAAACATTAGTTAATAAGTATAAGTAAACTTACTCTTAAAAAAATTGAATATCTCCTGTATATATATTAGTGGAGTTGAGATACTTCGTTTCTCTGTTAAACATAAAATAAAAGCTAAGATTAAGTAATAAAAATATATTGATTCAACTGGTGTTGCAATTGATTCTCAAACATTAAGGTCTTTAATTTGAATCTTGAATTTAGGCTTTAGGATTTAATATTTAATAAAAATATTAATTTTAAATAATAAAATGGTATAATGATCTACTAAATATGGAGATCAAGATGATTATTGAAGGGAGTATCCCTTTATATATTAGTATATGTCTGTATGTATAAAAAAGGATCAAATTACACAAAGAACAACTCTTGATAAAGCTACTCTATTCAATAATTCATAGTGTATGTTAAATTTCAACGATCAAATTGTTAAACTAAAAGTTCTTAATGCATAAATAAAATAATGTAATGATTCAAATCTTTGATTCAATGTGATGATTAATTAAATCACTTTTTAAGTGACAACTCTATAATTTAAATACCTAACCCTATAATTAAAGTTCACGTAGGATCATATATTTGTACAAATATGTATTACTGCATTATATTAAATTTACTTAAAATTATAATTTACGTTTACATACAAAGATATACACTATGTGTACATGCACACATAACAATAATTTTGATAAATTAATGTATTAGACATACGGTAAGAAAAACTTAAAAAATAATGGAATAAAATAAGATAAATTAATTTAAATTGAGTAATTTTTTTTAAATGAAAACGAAGTAAATAATATTATAAAAACACTAAAAAAATTATCACATAGTGACACACCCTATAGTGACATCAAACGTGTTATTAAAAATTATCTTTACCTGCATAATATATATAATATATATTTATATATTGTTAAAAAGTATGGATATAGGTTATAATGACACATAAAATATATTGTTAAATCTCATTTTAATACTAAAATTATATGTTACTATATGTCGAATAGATATATACTTACATATATTATACTTATAGCAACACGTTTTATATGTCACTATATATAACATTTATTATAGTGAAACCGAATCAACTTAATGTATCTAAGCTTAATATATATAAAGGACCGGTTTGGATAATTATTTTTCTAATTTTTATGTATTTGTCTAAATTTTAAAGGATTTTTTTTTTCTTATTTTAAGAAATAACTTTCATCTACTTAAAAATCATTATTTTTTAAATTATTATTTTTTAAAAATATTAAATAAACTCTCCCAAAATTTATTAATCATTCGTGATATATTGAAGACAATATAATGGTTGTAAAATGGCCAACCCCAACTTACTTCTATCTCCTTTGCCAGCTCTTACTCAGTTATATTTTTGACCTCATGTCTCAAATATGCTTACAAATTAATTTCAAAAGACTTAGGCCTTCCAAAAGACACAACAACATAGATAATTTTTTTAGTGTAAAATAATAATTAGTTTTAATATAAATATTGCTATCAATTATTATATTTTATGTCTCATAAACTCATAAGACTTTTTTAAGTGAAGGTTAAAAATATTTTAATTAGTCATCACTAATTATATCAAATATCAAAGTTCATCTATTTTAATTAAAAACATATGATTATATATACTCTTTATAAGTCATTCATTTATTCGATGTGAGACTTTAATTATGAGAAATAATTAGATATGAGAAAATTATACTCTTTTATGTGATATTTTTTTACTCAATGTGAGACTTTAGTTTTAGAAATAATTAGAAAGAATAATATTGAGATAAAAAATATTACTTATCTATAGCAATATTTTTTTATTTGATATAAAACTTTGATTTTAAAAATAATTAAAAATAATAATATTAAAATAAAAAATATTACTTTATTTATAATAATATTTTTTAAAATAATCTATTTATTCAATATATAGTGATATTTTAACAAATATGACTAAAAAACATTACTAGATAATTAAAATATAGTAAAGGATCAATATGTGCACATTATATAGTAGAAATAAACACAATAGACAAAATATCAAACAAAACATAAGAACCAAAAGCCGAAAACAACAATTTCATTACTCCTGCAATGAAGATTACTAACTTAAGATGCACTGAAAAAAATTGCGGGTTATAATGCAACAATCATCCAATTGATCAAGGGAAAGGTAAGGAAAAGTAGTCCAAAGGTGATTTATATCTTATTGCTAATTTGATTTGCTAACAGCAACACAAGCAACCTTAGATCTTATCACCTAGTGACTAGTTGGAGGTAAAACATACATTTTTGGGGGCCTATCGGAACTAGGGATTAAGGGAAAACGATATTCCTCATTAGAAAGGTTACAAGAAGGAGATAGATCACATAATCTTTGCCCAAAGAGGGTTTAAGTGCCTAACAACTAAATATTAATGTACTTGCACGAGGGTGAAACAATAATAATAATATAGAAGAATGGCATAATTGTTACGACTTATTAGCCCTGTGTTTTTAACGCTTAGGTTAACGGTTTCATCCAATAATTATGCATAAGAACAGACATAAGAAAAGGCGAAAGAAAGAAAACATATATGCCAACTAGAGCAAACATAATAGCCAATGATGGGAAGAGAGCATGGAGAAAAACAATGACAAAGTCTCCGTCAAAGTGTCTACAGAGATAAACGATTTAAAATTTTAATTGATTAGTTGGCGTTTCAATTGATTAATGTGCGACTCTATCCAGTTCACCAACACATCAGTGCCAAGAGAATACCCCAAACGGGTGCAATTGATGTGCAGTTGTCAAGTTTTTGCAGTGGTTGGCTTGTCAAATATTTGCAACCCAACAATACTTCTTGACTTAAAAAATAAAGGCTAGGAACACCCTCTATAACAAATGCTTTCTTTTCTTTGTGTTTTATCGTGACTATGATATGGAGGAATCAAGGAAACACACAGGAAAACTTTGCAAAAAAATATTAACAAGAATCCCTATGCATAATGGAATTCTAATTTGATATACAGAGGAGCAAGGAGAAAATGAATTATTTGATTGTTCTAATCGATACCCAGAAATGAAAGCAATAAGCTTTGTATTAGCTAGTAAAACTAACGAAGATTAAAGTAAAATAGCAGGGTGTGCTGTAAAGTATGAAGTACAAGTAAAGGTAGAAACGGATTACCTTATTTGGTCTCAAACAAATAGACGCAGAAAGCAGGGAAGGCATGAGAAGCGAAAGGGTTGAGTTGCTGAACTACATGTCTTCTCTTATTTCAATGTGCTATGTGGTTTCTTGCTATTGGAGATGAACAACCTGGATCTATTCATGGACGATAATAATGATTCTTTGTGTATTTGTGTTGTGTAGCTTGACACATATGCCATAAGGATTTAGGATTTGTCTTTGATGTGAAAATAAACGTTGGATTGGAAATCAGTATTGTGGTCATTTAGAAATTAGAATAGAACAGTGTTTTT